ATATATATATTGATGTGAGCTAAAAAATTCGCGGCGGTAGAGTAATGAATTATCGTATTAGTGTTGCACCAGGATTCAACACATACTCAGATGAAAGTGAAACAACCAGCGATGACACTAGAAATTTTTAAGTAGAAAACCCATAAAGGGAAAAAACCACGAGGCCTGACCCAGTTATAAAAATTGTCTAGATGTTAATGATTACAACGATTCTTTGTCCCACATATGAGAAATTATTACTAGATTTTCAGATTACAGCGTCGCTTGACGGTGTTCGGTCAACGGTGGTCGGCTATGATCGATTGTGGATGACGGTCAGCGATGATCGATGGTGGTCAATGGTGGTTGGTGGTGGTCGACGGAGGTCGGCGGGGATCGCCGACGATCGACGGTGGTTGACAGATGTTAGTGGTGGTCAACGACAGTCGATGACGATCAGCGGTAGTCGACGGATGTCAGCAGTGGTCGGCGGTAATTGACAGTGGCCGACGGTAGTCGACAGAGGTTGTCGGTGGTCGCTGACTATCGATGGTGATCGACGAAGGTCGACGATGGCATAGATGATGTTAGACGAGCTTTTTTCCAAAGCCTCAAGTTCTCCTCAAGCCTCCCTCCCGCTCATGTGAAGGGTAGAGCTCTATTTATAGTGTCTTGGGTGCAATTAATGCAGAAATATGAACCATTTTGATCGGACGGTCCTGAGAGCTTCCTTTGATCAGATGATGCGATCAGATGATATTTGATGAATATTTGAGTGTCTTAATGATGTCAGGATTGAACGATTTTGGGCTCATTGTATTCGTCTCGCAGAGTGACACACCAAAACTTACTATGAAGTAAGTCGTATGCTAGATTCAACATTCGTTTGACTTTTCAAATGCCTTTGTAAATCCTTCAAGAGTGGTTTAATGATTTGATCTGGGCTTGATTTGACTTGGATTGGACTGACTTTCATATCATTAAGTCCGTCTCATCGAGCTGATCAATTTAATTATAAGTTTGCTGAAATCGGAGCTCTGGAAGATTCTTAATCAAAGTTTGAATGTTTCTTGTTCAAAAAATTGCCTCGACATTCATGTCGGATGATGAAAATTTGTTGATGGCGTATCATATATATATATATATATATATATA